CAGCAGAGATCGACAGAGGATAACAGCTCGAGTGTATTTCTCGTTGATTGCTGTTTTATTGTGTCTGTTCGGATACTTGAGCATAACAGATGCTACTCGAACCGCAGGTGAGAAGATCTGTTGACTTCATTACACAGCCTGAAGAAATGCAGAAATAAGTGACTCTCAGTCTTTGAAAGTAATTAACACAGTTTAGGAATGAGTAGTAGGTTTTAAAATGCTTTTGCTTTGAAGCAGATAAATATGTAAAATTTGTATTAACGTTTGAGACTTATTGCTAAACCCCTGATTTACAAATGCAGGAACTGCGCTCCCTGGCCTCCCCTAATGATCCTCTTGTTTAAGCAGTAAAATGTTACAAAACTTTTTAATTTAAGTGAATGGAAATGTTCAGCATTCAGTGATGGTTTCTGTCATGTGTCTGTATAACAGCAAAGCCAGGACAGTGTCCACCCCAATCATCTGGGAGAAGATCGTGTATCAGTTCCTGTAAGAGTGACTCTAACTGTCCCAACAATGAGAAGTGCTGCAGCAATGGATGTGGACGTTACTGTACGGCTCCATATACAGGTATTCGTGTTGTATTGTTTTAGTCTAATAATAATAATAATAAATTTTGCCTTTTGTTGTTCTCTTCTAAAGTAGGTTTGAATTCATACCTTAGGATAGTTTTAAACCCAATGACTTTAAAAAAATAAAGAGGAAAATCCTGAGTATAATTTACTCTGTAGGTAAAACTTGCTATTCATGCTTTGAGTGTTTCGTGCTGTATATTGAAGTGGTATACTGTCTATATGCACAAACTAAAGCTGACTATCTGTGTCCACGCAGTGAAGCCGGGTCAATGTCCCAAACCGAAGAACATTCCACTGTGTGCTGAAAGCTGTTTCCATGATGGCCAGTGTCCTGCCACACAGAAATGTTGCCCAACCACCAGTGGCCAGGGAAGTGGTCAAGAAAACGGCCAGGGAAGTGGTCAGGAAAACGGCCAGGGAAGTGGTCAGGAAAATGGTTATGGTCAGGGGAGGGTCAGGGGAGCGGTTATGGTCAGGGAAGCGGAAGTGGTCAGGGAAGCGGAATTGTTCAGGGGAGCGGTCATGGTCAGGGGAGAGGTTGTGGTCAGGGAAGCAGTCAGGGGAGAGGTTATGGTCAGGGGAGCAGTCATGGTCAGGGGAGCGGTCAGGGGAGCGGTCATGGTCAGGGGAGTGGTCAGGGAAGGGAAGCAGTCAGGGAAGAGGTCATGGTCAGGGGAGCGGTCAGGGGAGCGGTCAGGGAAGCGGTTATGGTCAGGGGAGGGGTCAGGGAAGCGGAAGTGGTCAGGGGCGCAGTCATGGTCAGGGGAGCGGTCATGGTCAGGGGAGCGGTCAGGGAAGCGGTTACGGTCAGGGGAGCGGTCATGGTCAGGGGAGCATTCAGGGAAGGGGAAGCGGTCAGGGGAGCGGTCATGGTCAGGGGAGAGGTCGTGGTCAGGGAAGCGGTCAGGGGAGAGGTCGTGGTCAGGGAAGCGGTCAGGGGAGAGGTCTTGTTCAGGGGAGCGGTCAGGGGAGAGGTCGTGGTCAGGGAAGTGGTCAGGGGAGCGCTTATGGTCAGGGGAGAGGTCATGGTCAGGGAAGGGAAGTGTTCAGGGGAGCGGTCAGGGAAGCGGTCAAGGTCAGGGATGTGGTCATTGAAACGATCATGGGAATTTTGCATAACACCTACTGGAGATCTTTTCAGTTCAGTGCTTTATTCATATGGCATGTTTTCCCTGTTTGCTCAAACAGTTTAGAAAGATTTTTGTCGATCGTTCGTTCACTCTCTCTCTCTCTCTCTCTTACATTTTAAAGTTGTACAACTTTCTTACTGTATTTGGATTTTAAGTATAATTTGAGTACTTTTTACACCCCTTCATAGATTTGATTGGCCATGCCTGTCATTTTGACTTTGACGAGCATTGTTAGACTGCTGATCAGCTCCGATGAGAAAGTCCATTATCTTTGCGGCACCAGTGTTCAGTTAGTGTTGTTAGGCAGTTATTTCTTTTTTTTTTATTTTATTTTATTTATTTTATTTTTTAAGCCTATAAATGCCGAGGTCTGGATCTCGCGGATCTCATGCTGGGAACGGCAGTGTGTTTAACTTCATGCGGTGCTGCGCAGACCGATCGTCGAGAGTTGCAGCTTGCAGTCAGGGGCGGAATTGAAAGTGTAGACGTGAAGACTCTTTCTGCTTTCCATAGAGATGTTCGCACGGTGTTTGCATACTTTATCACATATTAAGAGAATAAAATGCAATATTTGTCGAATACAGACGTTTCATAGACGTTTTCATGAAGCAACAGAAACACTTCATGTAGGTTACTGCAGGCATCTGATAGGAAACGTCCTATAGATGTATTGCAGATGAGCAAACACTCTTTTAAAAAAAACAAAAAAAACATTCCATCTGCAGATGTAAATGCAGACGTCAAATAGACATTTCCGTGATGAAGACCAGAGGCACCTGCGCCCTCAGATTTTTGAGCCAAGTGAATTTTGAATGCAGCTTCCAAAAGACAAAAAATAGCAGATTAATATTTTCTATATTTAATACAATCACACCGGGATGATTAGAACACTCAATGTATCATATTTATTTCGAATAAAAAGGAAAAAAAAAACAAAAAACAGAAGTGCTGTTGTGGCTGCTGTGTCACATGACGACACCCCCCACCCCCAACTCGTGCCCCCACAAAAATAATGAGTGCATGACACCCCTGTCTTCCAGTCATTTGATTCACATTCACAGTTTGCATTTCACAAGCATACAAGGTCGTTGCAATCCTCTGGATCAGTTTGCATGCAACAAACCGGAAAACAGTCACATTTATAATAGTCAAAAAGTCACTGTGACATAGCAGCGAAATAGCCCCATATTCTGTGTGTTACCGCAATCGGATGTTAGATGACAGATTACAGACCACTGGCATTAAAAAGAAATAAAAGAAATCGCGGAGACCTCCCCCCCCCTAATCCTCCTGGATAGCCTGTCTATCCATCAAAGAGGAAGAATACAAATCCTGCAGGGAAATTACCTGAACCCCCGCACATTATGAGAGGGACGTCTCAATATCTCCCTGGTGAGACTTTTCGGTAATACCACTGAATGGTGAAAAGTTTATTAACTGCGTGCTGTTAAACTGAAGCCTTTATCTTAAATACATATTGTTGTGAGCTTTATTATGGAAAATCAAAAAGACAAAGCCATAGAGACATGTACATTATGCCACCATATTATATATTCATACCCTGTGTTAATCATAAAGTTATCCGTCCGTCCATCCATCCATCCATTTTATATTTGGTGACTTAAGGACTGTTCCAAATTTGTGTGACTAGTAGAGTCTTAAAAAAATTCTTTATACATTTTTCTTAAAAACATTTCTCATGGAAAATATGTCATTGTAGTCTCATTAAAAAGTCTTTCTAGACTGTACTCTTCCAGACAATGTAGAAAGTTTTTTTTTTTTTTTTTTTTTTTTTTTAAGCACTCTCATGTTATTGCCGCCTTAGGATGAATTACTTTGTTGAATTCCTTATTTGTAAGTCTCTTTGAACAAAACCATCCGCTAAATGAATACTGTAAGTGTTTTATGTTGCTGTATTTTATTTACTCGCCACTATTTTTCAAACATTTGATTACATTTACTAATGAAATCTCAGATTTGTAGGATGCTTTAGCATTTAATGCAGCCTTACGCTTATCTCTGGCCTGCAGGGTAACACGAGAGGTCATTAACTAAAGAGAAACAATGGTGTTGGTAATGAGACATCATTTTATTTGTTGTCTAATCCATCTCTATGTGAACGTACTGCTGAACAAACACCATGATGCCATTCTTACTGTATATATGTGTAATTTGGTTACAGTATGAAAACCTGGAGGTCACTGTGTGGTGCAGACCGCACGAGTACCTCGTTTCCAAAGTGGCTTGAGTGCTCACAAGGTTAGACGATTGGTCTTACATAAGGAAATATATGTTTGCTTAGTGTTTGTAAGTGTGTTCTGGATAAATTATATAAAACATTGGAAGGTCTTTAGAGGTCTGATCAACTTATGAAACATGATGAAGCATTTTATTCAATGAGGTCTATAGGTAACAAGTTCTCTGAAAACTGAAAACTTTTTGTGTTTTGGACATACATTTACACAACGTTATAGCTCTGTTCTTTTATTGTCAACATTGTCTAACTTGTTTCTTTCTTTCTTTCTTTTTTCTTTTCTTTCTTCTTTATTTTCTGTTTTTTTTATTTCACCTGAAGAATTTTAAGATGAAAATGTAGGTGACTACCATTCAAAAGTTTGGGGTCTGTAAAATTTGCAAAACAATTATCAATGTTGAAAACTGCTTAATAGTTTTGCTGCTTAATATTGTTGTGAATAATATGATACATTTCTGCAGGAGTAGAAAGTACAGAAGAACAATATTTATTTGAAATAGAAATTTTTGTAACAGTGTAAAAGTCTTTAGTCACTTTTGATCAATGCATACTTTCTGAATAATTAATAATGTTATATTAATCTTACTGACCCCAGACATTTGAACAGTAGTATATAGATTAAATAGATGTTTAAGTCACCTAAACTGTTGTTTTGGGATATGATAAGCTCACCAAAGAAGGGTACAATGTTTCTGAAAGGTCTATCTGAAAACAAATACTATTTAGAAAAGAACGGACGAATAATTTATTTTCCCACATTATAATTTTAACCAAAATGATCTGGGTTATTCTCTGTGATAGCTACTCATCTGAGCAGCTGACAGAGGAAGTTCTCCAGCAGCTCATCTGCTCTTTCCTAAATGCAGCTTTATGATTGGAAGACAGTACCGTGGGAAGCAGGTGTGACTATATCCCATGAAAGCAGCAGAGCTTTATATGGTCCAGTCTCTTTCTAGCCTCCAGGGCTACTGAGTCAGCACTCTGGTCTTAGACAGCTTGACTGAACCAGAGAGCGTAAATGACTTTTCAAAACGTATGCCATTTAAAATCCTTAACAAGACTTGCTATTTGTCTGTCAACCAAATAATCTTTTTTTCCCCTTCAATTTATTTTATTTTATTATTAAATAGTATATTTGTACTTTTTTATATTAAAGAAATAGTTCAACCAAAAAAGAAAATTTACTCACCTTTTGGTCAGGCTCAGTTTGTTTCCTTATCAGAACAGATTTGGAGAAATTTAACATTGCATCACTTGCTCACCAATGGATCCTCTGCAGTGAATGGGTGCCGTCAGAATGAGAGTCCAAACAGCTGATAAAAATATCACTGTATTTGATTAGTACTGTTTTGGACTGTTTCCATCTGAAATGGTGCTTGGTCTGTGCATACAGTATCTTTCTCCTGATTCAGAACTTGGTTTTAAGTCAGCAATGGTTTGATGTTAAAATCATCTTGATGGATTTGTTTATTACGCAGCTTTTCACTTCACAAGACATTAATTGATGGACTTGGGTAGTGTGGATTACTTGTGGATTATTGTGATTTTTATTTTTTTTTGGACTCATTCAAAATAATAAATAAATAAAGTGGCATATTCGGATGGCCATGACACTTGTGGGCTGATTTCAATTCAAAAAGAATGAGAACACTATTATGTGAGCTTTTAAAAGTACTAGCACACACTGGAGTTACTGCTCTGGCTTTTCTTAACAGGTTAAAAAAAAGAAAAAAACAAAAAAATATGACTTCTGAATTCAGCTCCATGCTCCGAGAGCAGCCACTGGATATGAAACATGGTGGAACACTTTTGAAATGTTGAGATGAGCTCTTTGGTTGTTGGGCGCCTGTCTAAGACAGACTCTTTGTTAAAGATGATATTCCCAGGGCTTCCAGGCTGCTCACTGCCTCCGGATTCCCCTCCCCGTTGCAAAGTGTAACAAAGCACTTAAAGAGTGCATTTTCATACGTTAAAGAGCCACTCTTTCCCCAGGTCATGCTTCCAAGACGGCACTAGGCAGTATGGAGAACTCAATGTTAACCATATTAAAATGTGTGTTCATATTTCACGCTGCTTGTATTAATATACACGTAAAGAGCCCTAGCTACCTGACATCAAATATTTCTCTCCTCTCTGGAGAGCAGTGCCCCCAGAGAGCTTGGCCAACCCATTTGTCCATCAGGTACTGCAAAATGCTCATTTTGCATTGACGAGCACATGTGTTATGAGAAAAGCTTGGCTACAGGGGACGACTTTGCCATAACTTTAATGTTCAATATTGTCAAAAAAATCTAAAGTCTACTAGAGTCATTTCCGCAGGACTGAAAATTTGTGTGCTATGGGAGAACGGAATATGAATACATTTTTAAACAACTCAACAATTTATCCATCTTTTCCCTCTTCTCTTTTCGCTCACATTTTATAAATCATAAACCTTCCGTCTCTTTTTGAGCCTTTATGCAGAATTCCGAAGGACATCTGTGCCATGTGGAAATCACCGGAAAGTTTTGTGCCCTGCAGATGTTTGCAGAGTTGACCTGAAAATAGCCCTGAACTAATATATGCTTTTATTGGCTGAGAGTGGCAGCAATGCAATGTACACCACTGGCTTACAGTGTGAAGTATGGAAAACATCCAGTGATAGGTATGGGAATCATGAAGAATTTAAGGATTCTACTTCTGATTTTGATTTATCTTAGTGTTTAAGGGTACCATTAATTATTATTTTGGGATTTTTAAAGGAATAGTTCACCCAAAACTGAAAATTTGCAGAGAATTTACTCACCCTGAGGCCATACAGGTAGATGAGTTTGTTTCTT